AGGACCCATACAGATAAAAAGAGGTATATATCAAGGTGATACCTTGTCACCTCTTCTGTTTGTGATTGCGATGGTTCCTTTAAGTACGCTGCTCAACGAGGCCAACCTAGGTTACCAACTTAAAGGAGCAAATGATTGTCTCTCCCATTTGCTATATATGGATGACCTGAAGCTCATATCTCCCAGCCAAAACAAACTGAAAACGTCTCTCAATATTGTAAAAAAATTTAGCGACGACATACAGATGAGCTTCGGTCTCGATAAGTGCGCTGTAGTCACTTTCAGGAGAGGAATGCATTATGACTCTGCTAATATAATAGTTGATGAAGGACAGACGATCAAATCACTAGAACATGGCGGAGTGTACAAGTACCTGGGAATTAAAGAAGGCCCACACATCACCCACGATTCACTGAAAGTTGATATTAGACATGAGTATATAACGAGAGTACGTAAAATTCTGCAAACTCAACTCACGTCTAGAAACAAGATAACAGCAATTGGAGCTCTTGCCATACCAATCATGCAGTACAGCTTTGGTATAATCAATTGGACATTGGATGACATAAGACAAATGGATCGCAAAACAAGAAAACTAATGACAACACATAACATCCTTCATCCCAAAGCAGACATCGACAGATTATACGTGCCACGAAAGAAAGGGGGACGAGGACTAAAGCAAATAGAAGAAACGTACAACAATACTATCTTCTCAGTAGGGCAGTATATTCAAACTAGATCTGAGCAAGACCGCCTACTACAGATGTTACTAGCACATGACAATAGGAAACCAACAAATAGATCTATTGTAAAGCGTAGTAATAAGATCAAATTAGAAGCTGCGGAAGCCGGACATACGGTCGAGCGAGGTAACAGGTCCATCAAACTGTACTTGAAGCAATGTGTCGAAGAGAAATGGCGGAGTAAGCCTCTACACGGACAGCATATCCGTCAAATGGAGGAGCTTCCGGTTGACTTAAGACTGTCATTTGGATGGTTACAATACGGAGATTTAAAAGGGGAAACCGAAAGCTTGCTGGTGGCAGCACAAGACCAAGCCTTGAAAACGCGTTACATTGAGCAAGCAATACACAAGACGAGGAATGACGGTAAATGCAGATTGTGTCACATTCACAATGAAACTGTTGAACATATAATATCTGCATGTCCAATACTAGCGCCAAAAGAATACTGACAGGCACAATAATGTCTGCGCAGCCATCCATCTAGAAGTGTCTCGCCACCTTGGTTGTCCAATAAAATCGACGAAATGGTATGAGCATCACCCCGACAGAATAACACGAAGTGAAGATGGTAGTATCACAATAATGTATGACCATCCCGTTATCACGGATAGAGAAATAAAAGCAAACAGACCAGATATTGTTATAAAAACCACCGAAATATGCTATATAATTGATATATCGGTACCTGCAGATAGACATGTCATACAAAAGGAGGCTGAAAAGCAACTAAAATACAAATCATTACTCATAGTAGTGCAAAGAATGTGGCATACAAAGGCAGTTGTTATTCCCGTAGTGATTGGTGCAACTGGATATGTCACTCGCAACATCCTAGATAACCTAAAAAGGATACCAGGAGATCATAATTTCTATCAGTTACAGAAGATCGCCTTATTAGGCACATCGCACATAATTAGGAAAGTTATAACATAACCAGCTCATAAACTACAAAGATCTGTACCCCTCAGGTCCTCGGCGAGGACCCGGTGTAGAGGTCAAACCGTTCCATATAAGATACCGCTACTAATAGAAAACGGTCCTGTAGCGTGAAAAAAAAATTTAAATAATAATAATAATAATAATAATTGTAATTATTATTATAATAATAATAATAGTTATAATAATAATAATAATTATAATTATAATAATAATAATAAAATAATAATACTAATAATAATAATAGCTATAATAATATAATATAATAATAATAGTTATAATAATAATAATAATCAATAATAATAATAATAATAGTTTAGTTTGTTTAGTTTAGTTTATTGACTACATTACATACATTATTGTACATTTGAAGTCACAGATTTTTGCCTTATAAATATAGATACAAACTTAATATAATCATCGACACTGTAAAAACACTTGTCTATGAGAAAGGTCTTCACTAGTCTACTGAATTTGTAGACATTCATATTCACGTCATGTTCTGGGTAACAGTTCACAAATAAACTGTACAATGTGACATGCGGTTTGTTCAACTTGGATAAACGTACTCTAGAAAAAGGAACTATGAGGTTATTTGCTGTCCTGGTATCATGATCATGAACATCGCAATGCGTTACATATTTATGGAGGCTTTTATGAATGTGTAAAAGCGTTTCATATATAAAAATGCTTGGTAGTGGTAAAATTCGGTGTTTCCTAAAAAGTGGTTGGCATGGTGTGCCTTATTTCGAACCATCAATTATGCGTACAGCTGCCTTTTGGAGGGTGAACGCTCTGAAAGATCCAGAAGCATTCCCCCAAAGGAGGGCACCATACGACAACTGACTGTGGATCAGGCTGAAGTAAACTGTTTTTAGATTACGTTTATCCAAATATTCACTCATCCGTCGAATTGCAAAGATTTGCGCGGATAACCTGGAACAGACGAGATCAATGTGCGGTGACCAAGTAAGCGCCGTATCCAGTTTAACTCCTAGGAGTTTAACAGGATCAGACGCAGGTTGACACTTATCACAGCTGAACACGATAGAAGATGTTTTGGCGTCATTCAGCTTCAGTTTGTTCACCGAGAACCACTTCCTTGCCTGTTCCAAGCCATCAACGCTCAACTCCTGCTGACCCCTTGTTGATAACGTCATGTCGTCTGCGAACATAAAACACAAACTGTGATCTATTGACGCAGGCAGGTCATTTATGTAGATGAAGAATAAAAGGGGACCCCACACCGAGCCCTGGGGAACTCCGTTATCAACAGGGAGCAGAGTAGAGTCGTAACCATTGCAACTAACATATTGTTTCCGGTTAGTCAGGTAGGATCTGAACAGACTTAATTCAGTACCCCGTACACCGTAGTACACCAGTTTTAGAAGCAATATGCTAGTATTGACACAGTCAAAGGCCTTAGTAAGATCGCACACAGTAGTAAAGGTTTTGAGACCACTATCAAGGCCATCAACAACATATTCCACTAAATCAAGTAACTCTTTGATTGTGGAGCTTCCCTTCCGAAATCCATACTGGCATGTGGATAGTAATGAATTTCTTTCGAAATATGATAATAGCTTGTCCTTTAGCAGGATTTCAAAAACTTTCCCTATGATGGGCACAATGGCTATTGGCCGATAATTAGATGGGTCATTCGCATCACCCGATTTATGAAGAGGAAGAATCTTTGAAATCTTGAGCGAGTCTGGCCAAACCCCTTCAGAAATGCACTTATTGTAGAGAACTGAAAGTGGTTCAACAAGAGACTCAATAGCTTTTTTAAGCATTGAGCTATTCAAACTGTAGTAGTCCAAGCAATGAGAGTTACTAAGCTTGAGAATAGCTTCGGCAACATCAGACTCTACAATTGGAGCCATAAAGAAAGACATAGATGGTTTTCGGACCTTGTTCAGCAATGTAAGCGGGGCAACACTTTCATTGTCAATTGAGCATACTATCTCCTTTGAAACTGTGGCAAAAAATCTATTGAAGCTATCTGAAGATACTATATGATTGGACTTTAATCGATTACGTTCTGAATTAACTATTTGCCAAACTGTCTTGTTTTTATTATTAGTTGTCAGTATTCTTCTGGAATAGAAGCTCCTTTTTTCCAGTTTAATTGCTCGTTTATATTCATAGCGGCAGTTCCTGAAGGCCAGCCAATCTTGCTCTAACCTTGTTGATCTAAAAATTTTCTTGTATCTAAATAATTGCTTGCGCATATATTTGAGCCTCTTTGTGAACCATCTCAAACCATTATTCCTATTATCAATTTTCCGCAAAGGAAAACAGGCGTCAATTTCTAAATTTAGAGCATCGAGTATTGAATTTGCTAGATTATCAGCAGTACGCGTATTACTCTCAGGAAAAGACCAGTCAAAATCGTGAAGCTTGCTGGCGAATAACGATAGCCCCTTGCTAGTAACGTTTCTTATCTTAAAAGAGCTACTACAACGGGCTTGCTTGATTGATGGAATAAAAATGTAAACTCCACAATGATCAGAAAGGTTGGGATCAAGAACACCGGTAATACGGCTCTTAATGTCGATATTCGTTAGTATATTATCTAGGCAGGAACTGGTGGAGGAAGTGATACGCGTAGGCTGGCTAATACAATGTGAGAGACCATATGATGAAAAGGCGTTAACAAAGTCAAAAGCAATAGGCGAGCAACTGGTAAAGTCTAGATTCAAATCGCCGACTATGATTATATTTTTATACCTAGAATACAAATAATCATAAGGACTAGTTTGTCTTTGAATATGGCTATATCACCACAAGAGGATGACCTGTATGTGGTGATTACAGCCATGTTTTTAGATGGAGCTGCAATTCCACAAAACTCTGCATGAAATGGTATACAAAAGGTGCTGAGATCAATATCTTTATAATCTGAATGACTGTTAACCAAAATTGCAACGCCACCATGCGCATTTGCTGGCCTACAGTAAGAAGAAATAACAGAGTAACTATTAAAATTAATCGAGTCCAATCTATCACTGTCCAGCCAATGTTCCGATAAACAAATGATATCAAAGGAACATTCACTCAACGACAAACACAGCTCATCTACTTTGCTAGATAAGCCTTGGATGTTCAAATGCATTATTGAGAGACCACATGCAGTAGAGCAGCCCTTCTCTGAAGAATGGGAGGGCGCACTTCTCTTGAATGCCGACCCTCGGCACCATTTTCTGACCTCTTGGGATCTCCTTTCGTGTTTCTTGCAAGAAAAAACCGGTTTAACAAAACACCTGTAGGCCAGATGTTACTGTCGATAATTATGGAAGCTTCGTCGACTGGAACTTAAACCTTGAAAGATGAGTACCTCTCCGGATATCTGGCTGTCAACCTCTCGACCTTTACACTTGGAGCAACTGCTTTCAAATAATCAGAGAGAACCACTTCATCTGTTTGTGGATCAAGGCGCGTTACATGATAGAGTCTTACAGAATTCGAAGTAGCAGCCTTTAAGGGACACCCTTGCATTCCAGACATACTACCTACTAGTAAATTTTTGGGTTTGCTTTTGCTATTATCTACATAGATTTTCTTATCGTAATCATTATTCATATTTATTAAAGTGCTGCAAACACTGCTGGTCTAGGCGCTGTGTATCGCTCCGGCAACCAACGATTTCTTTATAGGCTGCTTTCCAAAGGTAAGATCGCTGCCATGTGTCGTCGCTGTAGGTGGATTAAGGATTTTCTCCGATGACTGCGATTCACGTGATGCCATTAAATTCGGCTTATTGTTTGTCATACCTGGCGCTGTAAGAGTCTGCTTAGTTTGTTTCAGCATGGCGATTTGTTCAGTTAAAGCCGAAATCGCTATTTGCTGGTTTTGTATTGTTACCTGCTGAGCTTCTATAATAGCGTCCTTATGCTTTAAAAGCTCTTCTAGATAGTAGATTCTATCTTTGCCAGCAAGCCCTTGACAATCAGGTGGAACTGGCGACTTGGGTGCAATCGGGTCATCGCTACATTTACTACAGCAAATTACCGAATCTTCGTTGATAAACTTAGCTTTAATATTTTCCAAACAGGATTTATGAGACATCTTGCTACACAGCACACACCTAGGACCAGTTTTTACTATCTTCCTACAGCGGACGCCAAATTGATTGCCATCAGCCATCTTAACTTTTTGGCGAGTAGTGTGTATAGATATCGCCGCCGGCAAACCTGCTTGGCACTTAGTAATAAAAAGTGCCAGCACTTACTCGGAAAAAGGTCTAAGTGCCGTTATATTATGAGCATCAAGTGACAAAAAGCACAATTGTACACTTCTTCACTTACGTGTCCCTGGTAACAGGACAAATTTGCTGAAGGTTCTTTAATACACGACTCACCGATCAGCACTACCACAGGCGGCTACGCCCCACGAGACAAGCAATGGTAGCAGTGGGGCCTCTGTGATAAGGATGTTAGACGTAGACAAACAACTATCAATTACGGCCTCTAGCCGCACAACTTGAATTGAATTAAACACAAGTACACCTGCAATCACAAGAATAATACCCAATAAGAAGTTCGGGAAAACACTCGCGACGCGAAAAACTTAATAAAACGATTTAAAAGCCCGAATAATAACACACACGTCGTGCAATCTCCTCCGATCGTATAATAATATTAATTATATAATAATAATCATAATAATGTAATTAAATAATAATATAATAATATAATAAAACAATCATAATAATAATAATAAGTTATAATTAATAATAAATTATAATTACAATAATAATAATAATTATTATTAATAATAATAATCATAATAATGATAAACAATCATAATAATAATAATAATAATAATTATAAGTATAATAATAATAATAGTTATAATAATAATAATAATAATTATAATTAATAAAAATATAATAACAATAATTATAATAATAATAATAATAATTATAACAATCATAATAATAATAATAATAAAATAATAATAATAATATAATAACTATAATTATAATAATAATAATAATTATAATAATAATAGCTATAATAATAATAATAATAATCATAATAATAATTGTAATTATAATAATAAAATAATAATAGTTATAATAATAAATATAATAATAATAATAATGTTGGAACGCGTACTAGCGTCACCCCGCCGCGCCGCTACTGGCGAGACGACCAGACAGGTTGCCTAACCTAGAAGCTTGTAACCGCCGTCCTGTCCCCGCGCGCCGCACCTCGGAATGCAGTCAGTCGTGATGAGTCAGTCGTGGGAAGCAGTCGAAGTACAGCAGCCAGCACACGCGCGCGGATCGCGGAACGCGGAAGCCCGATCTACACCTGTCGCTTATCTAGCCATCCATGTACATGTAATCAATAAACTGTTCTGAACCGAAGACCACTGCGAGTTGAATTGCTCTGCTTACCTATCCTCAACAGGTTACGTGCCCAGAGACAGTGCTACGGACATTGAACAATTATTGCAAGTGCTGAAGATAATATAGGAAGTGTGTGACTAGTGTTATCAAACATGAGTGTGGCAAAAGTATCCTGTATAGACTCGCTTAGCAGGGATAACTACGACACGTGGAAAATACAGATGAAGGCGTTGCTGGTAAGAAACGATCACTGGAGTTATGTATCTGGCGAGATAAAGCAGCCACGGATAGATGATGGGGACGAGGCATCCACGAGAGCTGTAGAAGCCTGGACTAAAGGTGACAGCAAGGCGATGTCGGACATAATTTTGTCAATAAGCCCCTCAGAAATCAAACAGGTAAAGAACTGTAATACATCCAAGGAACTGTGGCAAAAGTTGGAGGGTATTTACCAATCAAAAGGACCCGCTAGAAAGGCCACATTGCTCAAACAGCTTACACTGCAACGTATGGAAGAGGGACAGGACATACGATGTCATTTAAACTCATTTTTCGATGCAGTTGACAAGTTAAATGACATGGATGTAGAAATCAATGCAGATCTATTAGCGATAATGCTACTGTATAGCCTGCCAGCCAGTTTTGAAAACTTCAGGTGTGCAATTGAGTCTAGAGACGAATTACCATCCCCGGAAATTCTTCGAATAAAAATTATAGAAGAGTATACTGCGCGGAAAGGCGACGTTCGAGAAACGGAAGGCGCCATGTTCGTGAAGCGGAATTATGGGAAAAATCACGGTCACGCAGGAAATGGCGGACGGGGCAGTGGCGTCTCGGAAGGTGCACGAGGCAGCGGCGTCTCGGAAGGCAGAAGAACGTTCAGGTATAAGTGTCACAGATGCCGAAAAGTAGGCCACAAGGCCGCTGAATGTCCAGACAAAGGTAAGACTGTTGCCAATTCTTACAAAAGTGAAGCGAACTGTTCCGAACACGTGGGACTCGTTACCGCGGAATGTTATCATGTTGAACAGAATCACAAAAGACTGAAATGGTGTCTAGACAGTGGCGCAACGTCTCACTTATGTAAAGACATTAGTTGTTTTTCTGACTTTGAACGTAGACATGATCATTTGAATTTAGCAAATAGTGAATTTACGGACATTAAAGGTTCCGGAACAGCTACGTTTGTTGCTGACGTTTTTGGCGACACGAAAAACATCTCGCTCCACAAAGCTTTTCATGTTCCCGACCTAAGAGTAAACTTACTTTCTGTTGCAAAGATTACCGATAAAGGATTTGAAGTTTTATTCAAGAAAGAAAATGCTTTGATCTATGATAGTAATGGTGATATAAAAGTTGTAGCCGATCGTAGTGGCGATTTATACTACGCGAGAGAAGGCGAAGCGCAGAATAAATCAGCTTTCATTTCGACCATGAATTCTAAAAATGTCAAACTATGGCATCGTAGATTAGGACATTTGAACTTTCAGGATTTGAATTCTTCATTGAAGAAAGGAAGATTAGGTGGAATAAATATTGAAAATATGCCTAATAATGGGGAACTTAATTGCGAAATTTGCATACGCGGAAAAATGACGCGTTCACCATTCCCGAAGAAGTCCGACAGGGAATCGGAAATGCTAGAAATCGTACATACTGATGTTTGCGGTCCCATGCGAGTAGAATCTCACTCGAAGTACAAATATTTTGTCGAATTCATAGATGATTATTCTAGGTATTGCACGGTATTCTTCATGAAACATAAAAATGAAGTTGTGCGAAAGACTCAGGAATATATTACACTGGTCGAAAACCAAAAGAACAAAAAGATAAAGTGCATCCAATCTGACAACGGGACGGAGTACACATGTAAGGAAATGGAGGATCTCCTGAAAAAGCACGGAATTTCACGTCGCTTGACTTGCCCATACACTCCGGAACAGAACGGTATAGCGGAGAGGAAAAACCGCACTCTCTTGGATACAGCACGTTGTCTAATCATGCAGTCCGGCTTACCTCCGATCTTTTGGGCTGAAGCCATCAACACGGCCAACTATTTGCGGAACAGATGTCCATCCAAAAGTCTGAACGGGTTAACACCATACGAAAAGTGGACTGGAAAGACTCCCGACGTTTCGCATCTCAGAGATTTTGGTTGCAAGGTCTTCTGTCTAAACCAAGATCAGGCCAAGGGGAAGCTAGACGCAAGATGTAAGGAAGGAATTTTCATAGGGTATTCGGAACAAACGAAAGGATACAAGGTCTGGTTGCCGAAGGAGAATAAATTCGTAATCACGAGGGATGTTAAGTTCTTGGAAAACGCAGAAGTCACATGCCAAGAATGGACAGATTTTATTCTGGAAGGATCATCCAAGGAGAATGAATCTGAGATGCATACTATCGAGGTACAGCTATCCCCAGTTGTCGAGAACGAAAATCCAGAACATGAATCTCCTACAACGGAACAAGAAGAGCCCGAGGTTGATCACGATTCTGAGCCACCCAGGCGTGCCCGCGGGAGACCCAGAATTCGGCGAACTGGTTCGAGGGGAAGACCTAGAAAGATATACAGGTACAGGACACCCCCGAGAGGTTCAGCACTCTCTTCTGAAGAGGTATTACTGTCCGAGGTCCCGATGCATCAGGCAGTCAGAGGCGAGGACGCTGACGAATGGCACAAGGCGATGGCAGACGAAGTGGCATCTATCTTGAAGAATGGTACTTGGGAATTAATCGACCGACCATGTAACCAGCACATCGTTGGAAGCCGTATTGTCCTGAGAAACAAGTACAAGCCTGATGGAACTATCGAAAGGAGGAAGGCAAGACTAGTCGCTCGGGGATTTAGCCAAAAGCCCGGAACACATTTCAACGAGACTTTTGCCCCTGTAGCAAGGCTTAGCTCCATAAGACTTGTATCTGCCCTAGCAGCACATTTAAATATGGACATGCAGCAACTGGATGTTACCTGCGCATACTTAAATGGAAGTCTAGATGAGACGATTTACATGGAAACCCCCGAATATTTGGATGAATCATTGAAGATTATTTGTGATAACTCCAAATACAACGAGGCTACCAGAAATAAGGCTCGAGATACCTTGAACACACTGGGAAAAGGTGATAAAGTATGTCTACTTAGGAAGTCACTATACGGCCTGAAGCAAGCCGGTCGCAGCTGGTATCAGAAACTAAGCCAGACACTTAGTGAATGCGGTGCAAATCC